ATCTCAAGCAAAGTACTCCCATTTGTATGTTTTACGGTGAACTTGGAGTTACTCCGATATCGCTGCAAATAAAAAGAAGAATTATTAATTAGGTGTAAGCTTTTGAATGGTAAAGATGATAAGATTTGTAATATTTGATATTAATTAAGACTGCATACTCTGTACACATGTATATTTTTGATATAGAAATGAACAATTGGTTAAGTCAATCTGTACCTAGTTCGCTTTTATCTAAAATTTCGAAAGTCTTGTTAAGTCAAAACTTCGAGATCAGTTCATCCAAAGTTGCAACAGTGCATGATGTCCAATCTTTGAGCAAATGTTAAAACTACCGTTTATATAAATCAGTTTGTATTCGAAGATTATTTAACCATACTTCATTGGCATCTGCCTTTACCTTTGTTAAAATTTAGATGTATGAATCATAAAATGCCAATATAGAAAGGTAGATTCCTAACTTTAGAGAGAAACTTACGTATACTGTAGGTGACGAATTTCACTATCTCTTTTATTGTTCACATTTTGTTAAAAGTAGACTTAAATTTATTAAACCGCATTATTATAGGTATCCTGATACATTGAAATTTGAATAGTAAAAACAAATTACATTAAAAAAAAACTACTCTTTGTTTTTTGTAAAGAAATAATTACAACATGCAAATAATTAATAAGTATGACATTGTATCATTAGTCTCCTGGAAAATTTTGTTTATGAAGCATAAATTTCGGTTGTTATGAAGAATCTAGTCATATCTTTATTTTATTTTATGGTTATATAATTGTCACTCATTGTCCTGTTTATATATATATATTTTTCTGTTTTCCGGTTGTTATGTGTCACATATTATTATGAGCCATGACAGTATTGAATAAAATCTTGAAATCAATGTTCAGTAATTACATAGTTAGATCAATGCTCGGCATAACATTGTTTTTTAGAACGAGCAAAAAACAGTTACTGACTTTCTGATTGTAATTTTATGATGTTATGAAAAAATTAGTTTACATCTTATAATCAGCTCAAATCGTTATTCTTTGAAAAGGACCTTAATACTGGTCAATGTTTTTTGTCAGGTAAGGCGCCTGGACAGATAAACTGATGAGTAAATTTTGTTACTTCTTATTGTTTCTTTTTATTTTTGTAACTGCATATATCATTTGTCAGTCATTTGTATTTCTTATTTAGTTAATTTTTTTAGCATTTTTTATTTGCTAGTTTTACAGTACATGTAATTCTGTATTTCTTATCTTATATACATGTAGGGGCCCATATGATTGAACTGGAAGTTATATTTTGTGTGATTCTGATTTGCAATATACATTGTACAGTATTGTATTGTACTTTAATCCATTGAATTTAGTCTTTAACACTATTATCAAATTTTGCTTGTTATAAAAGTGTTTTTCTTATAATTTCTATGTGTTTCATTAACCATATCGCCATAATATTATGTTATTTTAACATGCTGTGCTTACATATATATGTTGTCCTCTTGTTATACCCGTCTTTATAAAATAAATATTTCTTGATCTGACATGATTTACATTCAAAACAAATATGACGTTCTACAGAGCTTCTGTGTGCTATAATTGAGCGCTATCTTACCAATGCTCGATATAAAAGTAATGTGCCACTACTCATGGTGTGATAAAGCAACAAAAATACGGAAGCATAAATGCATACATTTTTGTATCACTAAACACGGATTTATATTACATCCGTGCACTAAATGATAGATTGTCATGACTTCTATCGAAAATATGAAAGATTTCGTGAAATACATGTTTTACGTACTTGATGATTTTGAGATAACTTTTGCGTGTCACTTTATGGAAATGTTTTTTTTGTTGTTGTTGTTGTTTTGATTTGCATGCTTTATTTGGGATTTTCTCTGATACATTTTCTATCTATATCAATGGGCTTCAATTCTAATCAATATATTTTACGTGATTTGAAATTGAAGGTCAAGTTGATGTTACAAAAATGGCAAAGAGAAGTTTCCACATGATCACGGAGGGGAAGGGAACAAAGGAAACAAAATGTGAAAATTACAGATTTGTTTTGAATTTCTAAACTAAGCTTTCTTTCAAAATGTTCAATTTGCTGTTATATTGTAGATTATATATCGGAATTACAAAGTCACTTTCAATACAGTATTGTGATCAGTGCAAATGCACATTTCAAGTGTGTGTATGACGCTAAAGAAGCTTGTAAAGACCCTTTCATTTAAGACCGGATTAAAGTTGTCGCCATTGGATGACGTCAATAGGGGATACGGTTGACATTGCTGATACGATTTTATGAAGATTTGAACCAAAAAGTTGTGTGCAAATTTTCAGATCATTCTCTGACCCCGTTTTTTCTAGAATAATCATTTTTGTTGTTCAAAATAATCATTTTGTTGTACAAATTGACGCAAAAATGAAAATCAAATCGGGCTAAGAATTGCACAAAATTCGATATTCAATTCAATTCTGAGTAAATCTTTATTCTCCTTTTCAGATTTCTTTTTTCATTAGAGTGCTTCGCTTGACCATTGTAAGAATTTCATTTTTTATGTTTTAAGGCTTTTTTTACCTCATTAAATTTGAGCTCCATTAAAGTTGTAAAGTGAATTATTTTTTGATGAATAAACTTATGAACAGAATATAACTTTCTAAAATGCATCAGTTATCTCTTTATTTATTTAATTTTACCGGTATATTTTTTGTATCACACATGAAAGCTTTTAGGGAAAAATAAATGTGGATGTATTGTGACATTATTGTGTCAAATTTAGCAAACCTCAACATTGCCCTATTCCCTTCCTCGAAAAAAAAACATTTGTAAATCCCAATATAATTTAAAACGGAAAATTAATTGACACAGCATCAAGATTGCAACTTGTTGTGCTTTTAAAAATCGTTGCGCGCAATAGATCTTTACCGGAAGTAGCACTAAATTTTGTCTTCTGGTCAACTCGGTCTAAAGACTATTCGGACTTCCTTTTTATCAATTAATTCTAAAGTTTTTCGTATCTGTATTCAATCAAACAGAAAATTGAAGGGGGTTTATTTATTTTAACATCTAAAACGTTTTAAAAGAAATGTGAATTAGATATAGCATTAAAGTGAACTCGGTCGTAATTTTTTTTTTAATAAGTACTGATGGTCTCTAAAATTGTGTTGGTTTATTACATAGATATAACTCCGACGGTTGGTTAATTTTAGTGTATTAACTTTTCTTTTCAACAAACAAGTACATGATCATTTGGTTAAATAACAGCAGGATCAATTCTTTTGTATTGATATTTTTAATTTGATAAACTTTAAATGTGTTTATGTTGACCTCAACTTTTTATTACAAAAATAATCTTAAAACGTCCACAATTAAGCCACTGAAATTTTTTGAACATGTTAATATATCAACAAAATAGATAACTCATATGAAATGTGAAAGTAAATGCATGGTTGATGCTAATTTCCTGCTATTTTTAACTTAAAAAGGAGGGTCGACTTTATTTTATTTCGGGGTATATAAAATGCTGTGATTTGGATACCTACGCAGGACCGTTATAGAAGTACACGATTTCATCCAATCACCTGATGTCAGCCAACCGCCGGCCATTTTACAATAGAGTGATCTGACCTGTAATCCTTTCACATTTTCGTGGTTACATTCATAAGTTCACAAATATGTGTTGAAAGTCACACATACATGTATATATGATATCAGCTCATATCTTAATTGATTATTGTGGCTTTTTGCTGAATTGAGAACTGTTCCCTGGGGACAAAAAGTACTTTTTTGTACTTTATTTAAGTACTGTATTTTTTGTCCCACGTTTTATATATATAAACATCTGCAGATTTCTAATATTTTGCACAAACATTTTGTGTTTGACTAACATATTATGTCAAATTTGAACAATTTTGACAAAAAAAAAACCAACACATATCCCGGAACAACCAATATTCAATCCGTTAAGCTGTTTTTAGCCAATAATAAATGGAAGAGGAAATTATGCTTTAAATTTATTTGAGCAATAAATTAATGCATCTATCAACATTTATTCATTTTAGGATTGGTATATTTTCAACAAGTCAAGATAAGTCAGAGCTACTAAAAATTATAAAAAAATATCACAACAGTCTATTCAACTGTTTTTAACAGTTTTTATTCAAGATTTTAAAAGATTTAAAAACTAAATATTATAACATATGTACAGTACAATGCATTGGTATGGATACTGTTAATGTGTACAAAAAGGGCAGATGAAGGTGTCACTTCAGTTTCTACGCTAATTGGGGTTCAAAATGATAAATACATCCAATCATTACAGCCATTTTACCTTCCCCACTTTGTAACATTAGTAAATATTGAAACTTGTCTAGATCTGCCAGCTGGTATCACTTACAAAAGATCTATTCTACAATCATCATTTGAAAAAAAAATGATAACAAATTATAAGATCTTATTAATAAGGACCCCTATGTTATGTCTGACGAACATTAAGTGTTACATCATATTAATAGTTGCTTTAAAATCACACAAGACTGAAGTAAATGGTAAAACTCTGTAGCCAATACCTTAAAAAAATTAACTTGCTTGGAAATTTTTTATCACTATTTTAAACAAGTGACTATTTTGTTATAGTTAAAGTCGGACAATTTCGTTACACTGTTTCATTTAATTATTGTTTTCTGATAACATCTGACAATTAATCAAGTATGGCATTTCTGCATGAGATGAAGTCAACACAACATGTGTTTTTATGCAATTTAGTCTGACATGACACCAGCGCTGCAGAATTAAGAATGTGTTTGAATTTAGGTTGTGATTGAAAATTGGTTGTTTCGGGATAAACAAAAAACAAACCAAAAAAAACCCCACAAAAAACAACAACAGGGAAATGTGCCATTATAATGAAATGAGTGATGACGCGAAATTAGTGATCTACATGATAGTGGTCACATTTGTGGTACGACTTGTCTTTGGTCCGGATCGACTAAACACTGTAGTTCTATGTTTACTTCCGGTAGTGCAAGTGTACAATTTTTAAAGATAATTTACTAAATTGAGTTCTTGTTTGCATGCGTTACAAGTCAAGGTAAGTTATTTTCAAATAAGCTATAAGACAGCAATTTTGATTGGAAACATTGACCTCTGTTTTTATCATTATTGATCAGGAATTTCAAAAGATTTATTGGCAACCAGCAAAGCTGCAAACGTCGTTAGAATTTCACATTTTTTCCACAATTTATTTTATGTTAGATCTACTAATAAATCTGCCGAGTTGAATTTACAGTTTTTTTAAATTTCGGCTCTCATCTTGTATGAACTATTTTCAAAACATGCAAGAAAATCATTATTGCCTAATAAGGCACACCATTGTGAATAACATTTTGTTTTATCTATCAAAATATTCACACATATTCAATAGCATACTGACACACTGTTTACCGGTACTTTCTGCACATTCCGTTTTCAGGTACTTTCTGTACATTCCAAACATTAGCACAGAGAAATTTACCTATGAGCCACATACCCTTGTTGCACCATCTCTAAGTCTAGTCTAGTGAACAACAATTTCAATAAATTGTTATTCGTTTTATGTTGATAAATTTCTTTACACAAAGTCAAATTCTCAGCTGTAGAGGCATGAATTGTGTGTGTTTTGACCAACTTAAAATTTGTTGATGTGACCTTTGTAAATGGCTGTTATGAACTCACTGGGGTGCTTGATTAGTAAACAAGAAAAATATTACATACATTCGTATGTAATATACGATTGCATACTTACTCTTGTGAAGACTTTTTATGCTTGCTGCATGAAAGGTGTTATATAAAATGAACAAACATGTCATCAGATATTTTATATTTTTAAACGTTTAATTGGAATGTAATAATATATCATAATATTAAAGTTTCATGCCTTCTGATGAGGAAAGTGATTCAAGAAAAGAACAATGACCAATTATGTAACTGCTTTAAAACATTAACACAAAATTACACATCTTCCACTGAACAGGCCATATGAAAATCTTGCAAACCCACAGAAATCATACATGTGAACTCTCCCACTTTTAGCGGGAGACTCCCACTTTCTGCAGCCATATTTTCAAAGATTTATCTTAAAATAAGGGGTATTTTCACAAACTAAAGAAATCTCCCTATTTTTGATGTCAGAATTTCCTTCTTTGTTTAATGTTAATTCTAAAATCTCCCTCTTTTTGAAGAAAAATCTCCCACTTGATCATAAAAAAAAGTTCACATGTATGAGAAATAGAAATATAAACAATAAAAACCCGTATTTCTTTGTTTTCTGAACTAGTAAATCTGGTCACCAGTTTATTAAAAACCATTCAAATATATTAAAGGTATAGAATTTCATTGAAAATCATAGTCTGTCACAGATTTGAGAAATTATTATTTATTAACAAAAAAACCATCATCAGGGCTCACGCTGTCGGTCGCCATAGTTGCCATTTGCGATTATTTTATAAGATTTGCGATTATTTTTGCATTTTGGCTACAAAATCTGGCGATTATTTTTTACTTCTAAGGTGTAAAAATCGATAAAGAATGCAGTAGACCTAATTAACACCAGCGGGGTGCATTTAATTGAGTGTCAACTTTTTACCGGTCACATGCTGCTTACTATATTGCCCGAGGTGATAAAATACATGCGAGATGTATAATTGTATTTATATAAGTACTTTAAAGATATTGTCCAGCATTTATAATAGCCATCAAACATCCGTCCATTAGCCACAAAAATCGTTTTAAAATTGATAAACTGGATATTGACTTACCCAAAATTTACCGTGAATTGCAAATTTTAATTTTTTTTGTTTTTAGCTACTGTACTTGACTAAATCGCCAGTGGAAAACAATGGTAAAATATTTAAAAAGTATTAACTTCCAAACAACTATTTGCACAACAACCAAAATTGTGAATACAGGAAAAATCCGATTGTCACATATATTTTCGCGACACCGATAATTTTGATATTTATTTAAAGGTGAAATAAGCTATGTTCTGTTTAAAAATCTTTACAACTATTGCAGAAAAATTGTATTACATTGGTGATGATGATATTTTTCAGTAAATTATTCAGAAAAAAGGCTGCATTCTGTGATAAGTTTGCAAACTTGTGTTATTTCTATAGGCTAATATGACCTGGATCTACTCCAGTTCTGTGTGAAATGTGGAAATTGACAGTGGTTATAGCTGACAAAATTTGATTAGAACAAACAAAAGAAGTTGTCTGATAACAGCATTATGTAAAGTTATAATGAATCTTTAATATTATTGTTATACAGTAATTATACTAATTATAACGTTTTTATTCTGTTCTATAATAAAAATTAAAGTTGTGGTTCTATTTTAAAAAAGGTAGTTATCAAATATGAATAAACACAAATGTATCAGTTTATTTGAGAAGCCTTATAAAACTGAAAAAGTGTCATATAAATGTAATGTTTATTTAATCAACTGCTTGTGTTGTTAATCGCTAATTCGTGAATATTCTGCTGAACTTTTGGCTATTATTTTTTTAAGTTGAAAATATTGGCTATTATTTTATTTGAGCCAGTGTGAGCCCTGCATCATTATTTATTATCGATTGATCAAATTAAACCCAAAAGATATGGTTTGTAAATATTTAAATATAAAAAGGTATTTCCTATCCTATGCCCAGGTTAGCTATATTCATAATTCCTGTGATAAGTCACGATGGTGCTTGGGATAATCACGTGATACTGTAACGCAGCCATCTTACGATACGAAAATGCCTGGCCCTCTTAGGACAGTTTCTTCTGCCGAAAATATAATATGAAATTAATACTTGCAATTCAATGTTTTTTTTGCTACATAAAGATTATTATTTACTAATTGCAAACTTTTTCTCTGCCCGACTATGTTGACGTTTTGTCATTGGCTGAAACCATCACGTGATCAATACACATTAAGTAGTGAACTAATTTAATTTCATCAAAATTATGCAAGGTATCGCCATATAACAATTGTATGTGCAAATAAATTTATAAAACAATCTTAGAAGTATTTAAAATAATAAAATCATTGGAAAAAGACAAATTGTAAATTTGCGTATGACAACTCACCCCTAAACAAAACATAATAGACTCAACCAAAACAAGAGTCTGCTTCTCTACCTAATTATGTAGTTATCAGCAAATCAAATTTAAGAGCAAACCTATTGTAAAAAAATTACTATGACCACAGCAGATTTCATACAGAAAAAAATGACCATTTGCTGCTGGTCAATTTTAAAACCAGGTCATTTATTGTATATGAATAATATACTGTGAAAAAAAAAGAAGATAATTTATATTGAAACTTAGAAGGATTGATGTATAAGTTTTGTTCTGTTACTTAAAAAACAAAGGAAACAAAGTATTCATTCATTTTCATGCTGTGTCATTATTTGCTAAGACATCAAGTTTTTCCACATTGAATGATTAAACTACATGTATAATAGAAAAAATTGAAATACCACATAGTTATGATAGTAACCCGATGTACAGCATTAGGTGTAATTTCCCAGAGCTTAATCCTGAACATACTGGTAAACAGTGTTTAGCTAAGTTTTCAAAAAGGTGATAAACAAAGTTTTTGATCTGTGATGCAGTTTTCTCAGCTGACATATTTTAAAAGTTTTATTTTTAATAATCAGTCTTTCAAATTTCACTTGTGAAACACTAAAATTTAGAAGTGCAGGCCTTTTCAAAATATATCCATTACATTGCATCTTTACTTATGAAGCAACCTTTTATATGTTGTTGTAGAAATACATTTCTGCTGATGCATGAACTCTATTACAGATGCTTTAAACTTGAGTCTTATGAAAATGAAAAGTGTAAGATTACTAAAGAGTACTAAAACTTGACTGTTTGCATCAAATGTTGGGTATTATCAAATCATATTTTTGATGATTTTTATAAATAAATATTATCTAAAGGAAGTTAACATTTTGACAATATTTGGATGAAATACTTGTTTTCATTAATTCATAATAATGTAGTCAATATACAGGTGTATTGTTGCTATGATATTTTTCTTAGACCTCATGTTGCAAATAAGGAACATGCTCTTTTAAAATAGACTTGTGTTGTAGAAAGGAGACATGCAATATAATTGTGTCAGACAAAAGTTAAAGTAAAGGGTATAAAGAGTAATTGAATTACACGTATATTTGTTATATCAGAAATAACATTATTAACAATACATTTGTATATTGTATATTTTTTGCTAATGTTTGCTTTCAGTGTGCAACAATTACTAGAACTATGTATGAAGTTAGGTAGTATTAGACATACAATCCTACCTTATATACATGTATTTAAGCAGCCAGTCAAGTTCAAGTGAAATAGTAAACTTGGTTGTTCTAAGTAAGGTGACCACATAATTATGGATATTTGCTTGCTTATTTTGTAGGCGTAGGGCCACCTTATGAACTAAATGATAAAATTATACTAACAAGATGACCATCAAGGTCAAACTATTGAATTTAGTCTAAATTGTCATAACTTGGTTTTCAATTATTATTGATTATAATGGTCCTTAATGGACATATTTGATTCATAATTTCATACTCAGACAAAAAAAACATTAATGATAACAGGGACATGTGGAATAATATAATAACTTAATTTTGATGTAAGTAAACATCTTTGACTGTCAAGGTCAAATATGAAATTTTAATTATACATTTGTATTTTGTTCAAGAAAATGATGTTTTCTTGGAGCAATCTTCGCTAAAATATTCATTTTCTGGTGTGTTTGACTTCAGAAATAAGAAAAAGTCAAGCAAAAGTCAAGTTTGGCAGTGGCTCTTTGTAATAGTTGAAAATAACATAATTATAATAGTTGAAAATAACATAATTATATTTTAACTATTTTTCCATTTGGTTACAGGCTTACAGCCACATTCCTTCAAGCTATATATAGATTTAAATTTTTATAAATCATACAATAGATTTATTTATGTTAATTGTTATTACAATCAGTATGATCATTCATTTAGATGTCCATGCATAAGACAGTTAAGACTTATATTGTGCAGTAAAATGATTTAAGTATTATGACATGTAGTATTTTAGATTTATCATATTTAGGTTAACAAGGAGTTATGTAATTGATTACAGAACTATCAGCTTCCTGTATGTAGTAAAATGATGGGTGACAATATGTGACATATGCCTAGCTACTTGATATTTTATCAATGATACATGTAATGCTCAGTATGATATTATGTTATACAGGTTGTGGGTGGGATGTTGTATTATATAATATAGCCAGCTGAAGGTTATATAGATAAACGCTAGATATAATTACCCCAACAGCAACCTGTATAACTAATTTATAATACTGCAGATTTGTTTGACTGACATTTGTCATAAATAAAAGTTGAAAGATATGTTATAAATAATAATAAACAATAATAATAAAAATTATAATAAGTAAAACAAATGTATCTACAATTTCTCAAGAAGTTGCCATTGAGTGCTGATATTTTAAGTATAATTATGTAATTATCAAATATTAGTATAAAGTAATGAATATATAAAGCATAAAGTTCTTGCATATATTATTTGTTTGAAAGACATTCAGCTGATGAGACAAGGATTCAACGTTTTCCCTACTAAGAACAGTCTTACAAAAATATGATACAATACAGCGTTTTTTCCCTAATATATATAAGTAATACCAGAAAAATGGCACATAAAAAGTAGACAACAAATTTCCCAATTTCTGACTTTGAAATTCCCAAAATTAAATGCAAAATTCCCCTCCAAAATTGGTAATTCTGCTGTTTCACACCTAAACATTATTCATGTGCTCAATTTTTTTAAAACTCAGATATGAAAAAAAATGCTTTAAGTTAAGTGTCTTATTGTTCATTAAACATGGTTTTAAAGTCTATTTAATTCTCATTCCTCCCTGGATAAAAAAATACCTCATGAATACTTGGAGTATTATGTAAAATTCCAAATTTGAGTCAAAATGATGCATTTTTATGCCCCCGCCATGTAATGGCCGGGGCATATAGTGTTACCCTGTTCCGTCATTCCGTCCTTCCGTCCTTCCGTCCTTCCGTCCTTCCGTCCTTCCGTCATTCCGTCATTCTGTCATTCCGTCATCATCAGTTTCCGTTCATTATCTTAAGAACGGTTGGGCATATTCAACTCAAATTTGACATATGGATATGTCATGAGAAAATACAGGTCAAGTTCGAATTTGGTCATGGTTCGATGATTTTTGGCAGAGTTATGCCCCTTTTACTTTAAAAATAATATGAAATTTCAGTTTCCGTTCATTATCTTAAGAACGGTTGGACACATTCAATTCAAACTTGACATATGGATATGTCATGAGAAAATACAGGTCAAGTTCGAATTTGGTTATGGTTCAATGATTTTTGGCAGAGTTATGCCCCTTTTACTTTGAAAAAAATATGAAATTTTCAGTTTCCGTTCATTATCTCCCCTATGGTACAACACAATCAACTCAAACTTGACATATTGATATGTCATGAAAAAATACAGGTCAAGTTCGAATTTGGTCATGGTTCGATGATTTTTGGCAGAGTTATGCCCCTTTTACTTTGAAAATAATATGAAATTTTCAGTTTCCATTCATTATCTCCCTCAAGGTACAACACATTCAACTCAAACGTGACATATGGATGCATCAAAGGAATGCGCAGGTCAAGTTCAAATTTGGTCATGGTTCAATGATTTTTGGCAGAGTTATGCCCCTTTCACTTTGAAAGTAATATGAAATTTTCAGTTTCCGTTTATTATCTTCCCAATGGTACAACACATTCAACTCAAATTTGACATATGGAAATGTTTTTGGAATGCTCAGGTCAACTTCAAATTTGGTCATGGTTCAATGATTTTTGGCAGAGTAATGCCCCTTTCACTTTGAAAAAATAATATGAAATTTACAGTTTCTGTTCATTATCTACCCAACAGTGTCACATATTCAACTTTAATTTGACATATGGATATGTCAAAGGAATGGGCAGGTCAAGTTGGAATTTGGTCATGGTTTGATGATTTTTTGGCAGAGTTTGTCTCTTTCACTTTGAAAATAATATAGATACATCTTAGGAATAAGCAGTTTAAGTTTGAATTTGGTCATGGTTCAATGATTTTAGACAAACTTATCTTTCCTGAATGTTGGAAAAATTTTGAACTTTCAGTTTCACCACTCATTCTTTTAGCCATTATTTTGGCTGCAAATATGCAATATGCTATTTCTAAAAGGTTAAGACTGAATAATTTCAGTGCCTTGAACATTGTATGGAAATGGTTTGTGTTAACATTGAAAAGTTTTAAGGGCTTTGAACTTAAAATGAAAAAAATAATTAATGCACCATCTGAAATTTTGGCTGCATGCGGGGGCATCCGTGGCATGATGACACATTTCTAGTTTCTCAAATTGTTGGGTACCGGGTAGTAGGGGGGAAAAATTGTTGTATTAATTTGTATTAATTTTAAAAAAAACATCATTTCAACTAGTTTTGATCATGCAATGATCTCCATTCTTGAATATTTTGTCAGCTTCAATGTTATAGAGATAAAAAGGAGCTTATATGTTTCCTAACCCCACAGACATTACATGCAGGAAGTTCAACCTCCATGTCATGTACATGACATTGTATTACGTGATCCATAGTTTTTTCATCTATATTTCAAGATTTTCCTCAAAGCATTTCTTGTAATGTTTTTTCTAACCATCAGCCAAATGATCTGAAAAAAACATATAACTCTGTCATTGATTCTTTTTCTTGTCCCAACACCTTATCTAATAAAACATTGAAGAGTTTAGATTAGAATAGATGATACATGTAGCTCTTGTTCTCTTTCTTTTCTTCCCCATCCCTTATCAAACTATAAAACAAGCATGCTGTTATTCAGATAGCTGTTATAAATTCTTTTCTCACACAAATGTCATTCTGCAGATTCTTATTCTTGTTCATCCATCAATTAAATTTCAGTGATAAATGACTGGTCATACACAGCAAAGCTACTTGTTTCATGTTAAGAGAATTGCATGAATCCTTCTGGTTAATGCATGAAGGAAAATCAATTAAAAGTTTGTTGAACATCAAGTTTCAGTGTAATTGTTACATGAAGAATAGCCTTACAGATAATTGAGAGCTAACTCTTCGCAAGTTTGCATTATTTTAAGACAAATTTCCTGTGCAATCAATATTTAACGTTTTTAATGGCTGCCATTCAGGGAGTAATGAAGTTGTTTTTTCTATAGGATCGTAAATCGTAATTTAGGGAAATATTGGTTACAAAGTGATGTAAGTCTATTTGGAAGGCTTGATAGAGGTTATAGAAAAGATTTGAATCAGTTTTGAACTTGTTTTGGCCATAAATAGTACTTCAGTTACATATCTGTGTACATGTAGGTACATGTAGGATGTAAATATAAGGATGGATGGCAGTTTCTGCTGTTATTCCAGTGAGGTTATTAGGAGATTTACTTGCTTTATATTCATTTAAAATATTCATGTCCATATAAGGTATGAAGTATTTTCACAATCAGATTGGTTTTCAGATTTGGTATTAATTTGTTCTGCAATATGTTACATAATGCTGTTTTCTTTGAAAGACTGGCTATTGGATAATAATCATAATATTAACAATAAAGGATTTAAACTAACAAAAAATTATGACAAGACTTAATAAGAGAGTAAATCTTTGTTTTTTATTGGTCATTTTGTCAGAGTAATTTTATACATTCATTTATGAATATTTTCTTGTGTAGCTAACCATTGGTATAATATGTTCCTGAAAGTCAGTGCCAGAGTGTGGCATCAATGTCTAATGACATAAAAAGTTCTGCTGAATGAAAAATGTCATGAAAATCACTAAAAATTTGTTGACAAGTTGAAGTTGCAAGACTCATCTTTTAATGGATCAGACACTAGCTTAAACTTAAAGTTTGTGGGGCAAAAAAGCACTATAATGAAATAAAATCAACCTATTTCTTTGTAAATATAACGTAAGCAGCACATGTCAAGAGAAATGTGTGGTTATGGTTTTGTATATTTATAGTATAAATTGATTATTCTTACATAATTATACATTTGTAATTATGCTACGGTTTTGTTCAACTTTGTTTTCTTTTAATATATATTTGATAGTTTAAAAAGTGTATACATACATAAATATTGTAGCAAAGCCTACTTTAAGTATCAGTTCATCTTCAAAAAATGTTTGTTTTTGTTTGTTTGATTTGAGGTTTGGAAGATAAAACCATTATCCCATTTCACCATATTCATTTGCAGTATATGAAATAAGGAAGTGTTAAATCAAGTAGATAAACTTACTTGTTTTACCAATGAAATATCTATAAAATACACATATGGGTTTTTTTTTTATAATAGAACTTTAAAGTTGATAGTCTAGTTCTCAACTTTCATGTTTAAACAATACAATTGTGTTAAATGTTTACATGTATACATATTTTTTGCAGGAAAAGACAAAAAAGATACCAAGGATGTAAGCAAACTAATTAAGGAAGTTTAGAACCCTATAAATTAAGACAGACTAAGAGAGGGGTGACAGATTTGCCGATATCCTTTTAAAAAACAGAAACTCTCATCTTGATAATGGATGCAAAGTAAATTCAGTAAGTATATATTTGTTAATCAGTTTTCTTGTTAAACTTAATGATCTTAATTGCATGTTACTACTTAAATAACAAAAAGTGAAAAAAATATTAATACATGCATCTATTTAGAAAGGATTTTAATATTTGAGAAATGATTATGTGAGATATATCAGTTAATTTGCCTTTTTTTGTAGTAATCATACATGTTTATTGAAATTGGTCTACAGTATCATATGGGTGTCCTGTTTAATATATAGGGACAAATCTATAATACTGGTGTCTAGATTTATATAGGGACAATTCTGTGATACTGGTGTCTAGATTAATAAGAAAAAAACTGTGATACTGGTGTTTAGATTTATATAGGGACAATTCTTTGATAATGGTGTCTAGATTTATATACAGTGTATGGACAAATCTATGATACTGGTGTCTAGATTTATATAGGGACAATTCTGTGATACTGGTGTCTAGATTTATATAGGGACAATTCTTTGATACTGGTGTCTTGATTAATAAGAAAAAAACTGTGATACTGGTGTTTAGATTTATATAGGGACAATTCTTTGATAATGGTGTCTAGATTTATATACAGTGTATGGACAAATCTATGATACTGGTGTCTAGATTTATATAGGGACAAATCTATGATACTGGTGTCTAGATTTATATAGGGACAAATCTATGATACTGGTGTCTAGATTTATATAGGGACAATTCTGTGATACTGGTGTCTAGATTTATATACAATGTATTGACAAATCTATGATACTGGTGTCTAGATTTATATAGGGACAAATCTTTGATAATGGTGTCTAGATTTATATACAGTGTATGGACAAATCTATGATACTGGTGTCTAGATTTATATAGGGACAAATCTATGATACTGGTGTCTAGATTTATATTGGGACAAATCTATGATACTGGTGTCTAGATTTATATAGGGACAAATCTGTGATACTGGTGTCTAGATTTATATAGGGACAATTCTGTGATACTGGTGTCTAGATTTATATAGGGACAATTCTATGATACTGGTGTCTAGATTTATATAGGGACAAATCTATGATACTGGTGTCTAGATTTATATAGGGACAATTCTGTGATACTGGTGTCTAGATTTATATAGGGACAAATCTATGATACGGGTGTCTAGATTTATAAAGAGACAATTCTGTGATACTGGTGTCTAGATTTATATATGGACAAATCTATGATACTGGTGTCTAGATCTATATAGGGACAATTCTGTGATTAATATAGGGACCATTCTATGATTCTGGTGTCTAGATTTATATATAGGGACAATTCTATGATACTGGTGTCTAGATTTATATAGGGACAAATCTATGATACTGGTGTCTAGGTTTATATAGGGACAATTCTGTGATACTGGTGTCTAGATTAATATAGGGACAATTCTTTGATACTGGTGTCTTGATTAATACAGGGACAAATATGTGATACTGGTGATAAGGACAATTCTATGGTCCTGGTGTCTAGATTTATATATAGGGACACAGAATGCTTGATAACATAATACACTGATATTATATTTATAAATGTAATGTGTGTAATTCAATCATCACTCTATGACTTAAATTTATCGTTTTAGGTACTTCCCTGAAAACTGCGGATATTTGTGATATAAGAGGAGAAGTTGAGAGTGACTGGTAGGGAACAGGTAAGAAATTTTACAAACTTGGGGTTGACCAAAAACACAGTTTAAACCAGTCTACTTTCTGTTTTCACAAGAAAGGTTCAAGTTAAAATATATAGCCTATATTCCAAGGAAGGTACTGTTATCAGAATTACACATTTAATTGTATAGGTTTGCAAGACATGATTCAGTCATTTTGATTATCCACTCTGAAAGTATCCAAAGTAAATTTAGCATCAAAATTTGTTTGTCATGGTAAAGAAATTAGAGCCAGTTTTGTACATGTGTGTGTGTTATTTATTTATGAAATAGTTAATTAGTATATCAATGAATAATTAACTACATGTACACATGTCTGTTCCTTTAATGAAACATTGATCAGAATGTAATTGTCAAACTTGGTTACCTGAAAGTACCTGGCATGTGTTAGTTTTATGACACTTGACACATTACTTGATTTATACAATGTTTCCTCGGAGTGCAGTGAAGATAACAGAAAGACTTACAAGTATGTAATAAAGCACTGTAAAGTACTATTTACTTAATACATTTTAATTTATTTCATGAAAGAAGAGGGTATTATAAATAATGCTTAATTGATTGTATTTCAATAAAGGACTTCAACTTTAAAGAGTTGCATTGTAAAGGTATTTCTATTTATTCATTACAATAGCTGAATAACACTAAAACAAAAGTACTAGGGATGTTAATGTAATTTCCAAGGTTAGGAATTCCAATAATTTGCTGTTGTCAAAACATGGCCTGTTTTAAAGCCACTTATGCATAAGTAACACCATTTAACTTAACCCCTCATTGTTGTGGGTTCGAATCCTGGCAGGGACATTGGATTCTTTCATGTAGTTACAGCTTGTGCATGAAATAATGCACAGAGGGGCAATTTACTTAGGTATTCCTCCTCCAGTAAAGCTGAAAAAATACAACATGAATTTGAAAATGTAAATTTGCTTTTAAACCCATCCAAACAATATTAAAAAATCAAAACAAAGACAGTAGAGTACAGTTAATATCTTGGGGTAAAATTTGAATCTGTTTATAGTAAGTTATACTTCCATTGTACACTTCATATGAACTTTGCTTGTGTTAGCTCAACTTTGAAAAATAGGGAGAGCTAATGTACTTAACCAGACATCAATGTCACACTTTGGTTAAGTTTTTGCTTTCAAGTTGGTATCTCCAAAACTACTAAAGGCAATGGGTTGAAACTTCATACTCTTATTTTAGAGCATAATAGGGGGTCGCTATCTAAAGCGCATAACTCTCAAATGAATTTGGACAGAATAAAAGCTTTTTTTTAACTTACAAAATTCTACATTATCTGGGTTCTTGTTTTACTATCAGCATAGAATCAAGCACTGAGAAATTGAGAATAGTCAAGCTTGCTGTTTTATTGACAGCTCATGTTTTTAATTCTGATTGTTAAAATTCAGTAATTAAAATCACTGAAAATGCCAGTGAGAAACAATTAAATGATTATTATTGTTGTTCTTTGTAAATGATATTTACTTAATGACATATAAAATTGTTATATTGAAATATTAAGACAGGAAACTGACAGAAGTATATATAGATGCCCTCAATTCTTTATTGAAAAAAACTGATGTCATTTGATATATTTAATTATTGATTTTAATGAGAATGTAGCATGTGGGGAAAACATTAAGATAATTGTTACACATAAAGTATATTAGTCCTTGAAAAATGTTCGTAGTTTGATGAATTCCTGTAATAAAATGCTATATTTAAAGCTTGTGCTTCATTTTAGACTTTTGAAGGACATTTGCACAAGCTGCTGCTAGCAGGATATGGTGAAAAGTAAATAGAAGCGTACATGTATTCTATTCATAGGACATCTAAGTTTACTTGGTTTGGAATGTCAAATATTTCAAAAACAAAACAAGTTTATAAATTGTATTTTATATCAATTTTGTTTGTGACACACACATGCCGTTGTCAATGTAGCAGACAGCAAAATCTGATCTAGACGTCCTTATTTAGATTATACTTGAACAATTTAATTAAATTTGAAACTCAACTGCCATTTCTGGTAGTTTTATGAAGTTAGATCTGCTTCTGTGGGCGAGCATAGATGTTGCTGTTTATAAGGTAAAGAATACAGCTTTAATTTCTGGTTGGGATCAAAAGTTGTATGTGTATATAAACAGGGGATAACTAAGTTACTTGGATTGATAAATAACTGATCACAGTTGTTGGTGTTTATTTAAAGATGGTTCTGTTTCTGATAATGTTCACAACTTTGTAACCTGTTAGAAATTGAAAAAATGGAGAATGATCTTGATCCTGCTGTCATGACACTAAATGCTCTTCATTCTTTATGAAGGAGAACTATCTTGATCCTGCTCTCTTGACACTTAATGCTCTTCATTCTACATGAAGGAGAACTATCTTGATCCTGTTCTCATGACACTAAATGCTCTTCATTCTACATGAAGGAGAACTATCTTGATCCTGCTCTCTCATGACACTTAATGCTCTTCATTCTTTATGAAGGAGAACAATCTTGATCCTGCTCTTATGACACTTAATGCTCTTCATTCTTTATGAAGGAGAACAATCTTGATCCTGCTCTCTTGACACTTAATGCTCTTCATTCTACATGAAGGAGAACTATCTTGATCCTGCTCTCTTGACACTAAATGCTCTTCATTCTACATAAAGGAGAACTATCTTGATCCTGCTCTCATGACACTTAATGCTCTTCATTCTTTATGAAGGAGAACAATCTTGATCCTGCTCTCTTGACACTAAATGCTCTTCATTCTACATGAAGGAGAACTTTCTTGATCCTGCTCTCTCATGACACTTAATGCTCTTCATTCTACATGAAGGAGAACTATCTTGATCCTGTTCTCATGACACTAAATGCTCTTCATTCTACATGAAGGAGAACTATCTTGATCCTGCTCTCTCATGACACTTAATGCTCTTCATTCTTTATGAAGGAGAACAATCTTGATCCTGCTCTCTTGACACTTAATGCTCTTCATTCTACATGAAGGAGAACTATCTTGATCCTGTTCTCATGACACTAAATGCTCTTCATTCTACATGAAGGAGAACTTTCTTGATCCTGCTCTCTCATGACACTTAATGCTCTTCATTCTACATGAAGGAGAACTATCTTGATCCTGCTCTCGTGACACTAAATGCTCTTCATTCTACATGAAGGAAAACTATCTTAATCCTGCTCTCATGACACTTAATGCTCTTTATTCTACATGAAGGAGAACTATTTTGTTCTTGCTGCCATGACACTAAATGCTCTACATTCTACATGAAGGAGAACTTTCTTAATCCTGCTCTCATGACACTAAATGCTCTTCATTCTACATGAAGGAGAACTATCTTAATCCTGCTCTTATGACACTTAATGCTCTTCATTCTACATGAAGGAGAACTATTTTGATCCTGCTCTCATGACACTAATTACTCTTCATTCTACATAAAGGAGAAATCTTGATCCTGCTCTCATGACACAAAATGCTGTTCATTCTACATGAAGGAGAACTATTTTGATCCTGCTGCCATGACACTAAATGCTCTACATTCTACATGAAGGAGAACTATCCTTGTTCTTGTCATGATAAGGGACCACCATTGATAAAAGATGCATGTACAGCAAAATGTGAGAGCATTTAGTGCTGTAAAGGAAATAGAATTTCTTTCCCTCTTTATCTTCTACCACTTGACAATGTTTTACAACTTTTATCTTGTTAATCTCCCTGTGTGATTATTTCAATCTAACTTTAAACTTTTCTTACAAGCTGTTGGGCATTTACTGATAATTAGTGATGTAATAAACCATTAAGGTAAGAGGTTTACTTCCAATTAATTCTTATTTTAAACTTGTAAGTGTGTTTTTCTCTTTTGTATTTGATTCATTATTCCTTAAATGCTTTATTTAGTTCCCATTTACTAAGTACAGTAAATAAATGTAAATGACATTTCAAATTACCTGTTCTGATTGATCTTTGTTTTTAACACCAGCGCAGCAATAATTATCTTTCTTAATGTTATAATATCCAAAACTTTGTTTTTCCAAAGAAGTATAAATAAATAATTCACTTATAATTAGGCCAAAAAAATAAATTACATGAGCCTTCCATGGCTAAGTGGTTACGGTTGTTGACTTGAAACCACTTGCCCCTTACCACTGTTGATTTGGATCCCAGCAGGGACTTTGGATTCTTCCATGCAAGGAAACTATCCAGGTGGCTTATGGAACGCAGGCGGTTCTTCTTTGATGCCTGTCTGTGCTTGAAATAATGCAGGAAAGGTCATGTCATGATGTGTGGGCCATCTCCACCAGTAAAATATCACCTATACTGTGTTAGTGTGACTAAAGCCCAACCCAAAACCAACCAATCAAAATAGAAACATGCATCAGCTCTATTTTGTTTATCATTTTACTAATATGAGTATTGTTTGACATATTGAAATTATGTGAAAAATGTAGTGACAAGATGTCAAAATGGTAAGATTTGCATATAGATATTAAGATGGGGGTGTTTGTTGTGTCACTAAATATGTTGACTGTTTTTAATTAAGGTCAGAAACAGACTGTTATAGTTATGTTTATGTCATAAAGGCCTATTACTTTGTTTTATTGGTCAGAAATTTTTGTAAAATTTCCACACTAACGAAACACAGCTGGGATATAAAATGATATGCAAATTGCAAGTTACTGTTTGTTGACATGAATACATTATACTAAGTTTGACTGATTTATGATATATTTCCTCACATTTGTTAAACAATGAGCTAGGCTTTTTAAAATTCTATTAGTTTTATTCTATATAAATAGAAAATTATAATAACGTGACCTCTAAAAGATAAAATATTCCCATGTTTGTTGTTTTTTTTGTTTTTTTTTTGGGGGGGGGGGGGTGCAGATATCAAGACCTACTTGCAACTGTAAAACTTGTTTTAATACCTGAAATTTAGACATATCAACCCACTTCTATCTATGCATGTTTAAAAGGTAG